GCCCTCGATTCTATTTTTGAATTCCCTCGCATGTTAGATTACAACAATGAGAGAGTTTGTAATTTGGAATTCGGATTTATGGAAAGACAAAGAAAAAAAAATCCATCGAAGTTTTGATTACCCTCTAAAAGTTTTCACTTCCGATTCCAACAAAACATCAACCTATGATCTCCAACATTTTCCAAGAAAAGACAAACATCGATAATATCTAAGGTGTTAATTTCTAAACTGTCCAAAAAAAAGTTTGAAATTTCATATGAGTTTCAGTAGGTTACCAACACAACATCGAAAGAATCAGGTTATCGGTATCCTTCCTTACAAACAATTTTTCAAACAGTAGCCAGATCTTTCAGAAATCTGGCACCATTAAAAGATAAAAATCCTGTCTTTTCGGGAATGAAACAGTAGAATTGTCCCATCAAGAAAATTTCAGTCATTGCTCACACGATTTGGCATAATTGTTTGGTTTATTCAAAGCAAATGAAAACAGTATCTGGTGAACCAGTGAATGAGAGAAAGGAGTCCTTGTCAACCAAAAGCCAACAATGTGTTTTTGAGTAAAGTTCATTTAGAGTGGCACACCTTCAGAAGGTCAAAGACTAGCGGGTTCAGTACAACTTCATTTTCGTGTGGGGGTGTGAACTTCGACTCTCAAGCTCGAAAGGGTCCACTTTGGAGACGAAGTCGAGGACAATCGGATTGGAAAAACAATCTCAAAGAGAATCCGAGAAACCCGGTTCGTCACTAGAAAGTCAATGTAACCAATCTAGTCGTCATGTCGATATTCAGGGGCGATGCATGAGCATGCGCGTTTGGAAGGAAGCAGCCGCATGCAAATTGAACAGGGGTTCCCTACACAAGAGCCCCTTGATGTAAATCTACGGCGAAATTTCAGAACCGAAATTCCGTGGACGGTAGACCTTTGACATGGAAGCGCCTTGCCCATATAAAATGGATGGGTATGTGTGCATGAATATAAAAGTGTGGATGTCTTCTATTCTTATAAATGAAGACAATGGGTTTAGTGGACTCGACACTACAATAACTGCATGCAGGTGCGCGATTATTGGATACACTTTTGCGTGCTCGCAATCCATAATTGGCACTATTCAACGATTACTGTTTTTTATTTATTAAAATTGAATTTATCATTATAATTGTTGTGTCCTATTGAAACAGTATAAATGTTTACATAAGAGTTACGGTTATTTTTTTTTATTAATTAATTTCGAATTCTATTACTTTGCCTAATAGTTATTAGGTGTTCTTATAACCTTTGAAAGGTTGTGTTTGATAGGCTATAACTTCTTAACATTTGAAAGGTTGGTATTTGTTCGGTTGTTATTTTCAGAAGTTATAAAATTCCGAATTAATAAAAATAATCCGAATTTTCAACGTGTCTGTTCACTTTGCAACCTTTCCCAAATGGTAGCTTATGTTCTGAAGAGTGATATAAATTCGTCGATTTTCTGTTTCATAAAAGGTCTTGTCGATCTTTCTTTCTCAAAAAAAAAAAAATTCATCCGTGGTTTCTAAGTCATTTCCTTTTGAGAGTTATTGGAGAAATACTGGAATTGCCATATGGTATTCTTCATCAAGACTTTATTATATCCTGGAGGATTTTTACCGGTACCCATTAACAATACCGTGGGGCAAATAATTCCTTAAAATGAGCGTTATCGTGCTTCAAAGTCCGATTCAATTCTTCTTCCCGATTGCTTGATTTTTTAGCCCCCCCAACAGCTAGATGATTAGTTCACTTCCTAGACAGAGTTACACAAGTTGCTGTGTGGAAGATTTTGAGAGGAGGGAAGTAGAGAGAAAAGAGGTCCATGTGAATGAGATGATGGGCTCTATGAAAACGAGTGATGAGGGGGAGGGAGGGAGGGTGGGGTTGGTGAAGGCGACTTGAGCACGCATATGAGCAAAGGGCTCGTCGGGATTGGAGAGGAGTGGGGGGACCATCCGAAAGCAGCATCGCCCTAGACAATGGTTTTCGATTCGTGTTCATCATGCAAGAAAAGTAAGATGATGAAAACCCAATGTGGAGGGACCACTCTCGATCGATCGCGATCCCGATCGCACCCGTCGCCCCCGCCCCCGCGCGAGAAGATGCTCCGGCGATTGTTGTCCACCGTATCATCGGTTAGCATCGCCGGGCGTGATCATACTCGATGTTAGCATCATTGGCACGCGATCGCAGCCGATGCTAATGTAGGGTGGGCTGGTAAGGAAAGTTAGGGCAGAACTCGGAATCCATGTTATTTCCTTGTAGCTCAAGAGGGATCGGTGTTCGATCGAGTTGAAAAGTTTAATAGAAGAGGATATCGAAGAGGCGTTACTCCACTTCCAAATCCCTGTAAGTTATCGCAGATCAAAACTCATGTAGATGCCGACTGTTCTTTCTTAAGAGGACCGAATGCAAATTAATAATCATGAGAGAGAACTTAGTTCGATAGTGATAAATGAAATCCTCCTCAAATACAAGGATTGAATTTATCAGATAAATTGACAAAAATAATCCCTAAATTTTGGCCTAACGTGCAATGTTATCCTTAAACTTTTAATTCGTTTAATTTGGTCCTTGAACTATTCTCAATTGTTCAATCTAGTCCCTAAACTTTCAATTTATTCAATCTAGCCTCTCAATTTTTCATAAAGAAATAAAAAAAAATTCATAATTACTTTATGGCCCGGATTTTAGAATATCTTTTCATTTCAATCCATTTCCTAAATCAACAAAAAAAAATGTTATCTTTTTACTACCTTTCTACCTTTTTGGACTTTATAATATTGCTATAGTTCCATTGAAGTAGATATAACTTAGATTAGAGTCAATCGAATTCATATTCCTTATGTTTTAAAAGTAAGTGTTTTCATAAAAATATACGATAAGGTTATTAATTTATCTATAGAAACCTCGTACTTGTATTAATCTAAATCTCGTACTTAATTTTTTTTTATTTTCACGGCACTATCCTCAATGCCTCACGCATGAGGTCATTTGAACTCCTCCTTTCAAAGTTTTCGTGTTTGGTGTTCTCTTAATTATATGTAATTTAAGAAATTAAAATAGTAAAAATATCGACCCGATACAACTCTAAATGAGATTTTACATGTACCATTATATAGATCATACGTTGAAATACACGTAAACGGTATTATCGTAACATTTATAAAACCTAAAAAAATAATAAAGTAATAGAAAGGTCGCCATATTTTTTCGCTGATTTAGAAAATTGAGTGCGACGAAAAAAAATTCTAAAACCTTGATAATAGCGTGATTATGGAAAGTTGTGAATAGCATCGAAGGACTGGTTTCACTTCGCTATGAAAAGTCGGGGGACTTAATTGAAAATTTTGGGATCAGATTAAAGAATTAGGAAATAGTTTAAGGATCTCATTAAACGAATTAAATTTTAAAAAAAATGGCATTATATATTGAGCCAAAGTTAAGGCACTAATCACGGCATCTGCCTGAGATATTACTGCATACCACTTTTTGTCTTGCTGCACAAATTGACATTAGAGAAATGGGAACCCAACGCATGCAATGCATACACCTACCATGCATGCATGCATGCGTCCCAGCATGCATGCATGCACCCGTGCATGGTTTGGGGGGGGGGGGGGGACCAAGATCAGTGGGCAGGCGCGTGAACTGGGGACGTCGGTCAGCCGCCGGATGCCGCTGTCCCGTGGGCCCCACCCACCCCCCCCTTTACCTCCCTCCCTCCCTCCCTCGGTGTGGTCCCATGAAGCTGGGATGAGCCACGTGTCGTGTCCGTACCGGTGGGGGCAGAGCTGTCGGCTGGCGCTGGCGCGCGCTCGCGGTGGTCCAGAGGAGATCGAACCCGGTTCGGCAGGCGCAGCGGTGGTCAGAGCAGGGGGACCGAAGACATTTATGACAGGATCGAGAAATTAAAAAAAATGCAAAAAAATAAAAAAGGAATAGGAATTGGAAAAAAATTATATTTAAAATAATAAACTAGGACTTTTTTGGTTTTTTTTTTTTTTTTGGGTAAAAAAACTAGCACTTTTAATATACGACTTTTGGTGTATACGCCTGATGGAAAAGTACAAAATTCAAATCACATCATCCGCCGCAGCGCCTGGGACATTTTGCAAAACGTTGAATTGAATTTCAAGACACGTACTCGCTTATCCATAAGTTAAATAAAAGAAAATTTTTTCTTCGACCCCGAAAATTTTAAAAATAAAAAATAAAGGAAAATTTCTATTGGATAAAGGAAAAAAAAATAAGTAAAGGGAGCAGCGACCCTTTTGGCGTTTAGATTAGGGGGGAAAACGAAGCGTTCGTTCTGGTAGATGCCAAAAAGAAGATCCTCATGTCAGCGTGCATTCTAAATGGTAACCCCAAAAAAATAAAAAGAAATTTTTGAAAAGCAGAAGTGAAATTAGATTAAGAAAAATAACAGGTGAAGACAAAAACCACACGTATGTGAAAATGACTGAATTAGTACATTCTCCATAGTGCCCAAAGTTTGCACCTTTTTTTCTTTACCCGGATACATGATTACACTTGTTGTTTTGTATCTTCCAATTCCCTCTTCATTTATCGTTTTAGGAGTTTATCGCGTCGTTGAGGATAAGTTTCGTATCTTACCATCCCCTCTTCATTTATCGTTTAGGAGATCGTTAATTTGGTCGAAACTTTCTATGCTGGCCGGAACTTTCTCGATTCAGCTTAGATAAGGACCTTAATGCAAAAATACTCGGTTTCGTTATTAAATTACCGCGCTTTGTATCTAAATTTCCAAACTTTTTATCGTGATTATGACTATTGCGGTCGCATAATTTCATACAAGAAATAAAAATTCAAACTTTTTTTCTTTTCATCTTGATCACCCACAATTATCTTTTGACTCATGCTCAAAATTGCCAATTAGATCACTCCACAAAAGTCCAACAGCTGTTCTCCAAACCCACCGTCCCATAAAAATAAACCAGAAAAGAAGAGACTTTTCTCTCCTTCCTCGTTATAAACAGGAGACACTTTCCATTCTCAAATCTCGAGTCATTTTCCAAGAACTCACCGCTCCTCCCGCGAGAAGAAAAAACATCACCACCACCACCACCACAACATCCACGGCGTTCTTGTCGTCGTTGCAGTGACAAGAAGAAGATCTTGGTCATCCATGGCGTACAACCACGACCAAATGCCGCAGGAACAGGTCCCCTTCCGCCACTACACGGACCAGGGGCACCACCAGGGCAGGGACGGCGTGCACAAGTTCTTCTCCGCCTCGATCCTCCGCCCCCAGAACTTCCTCCGCCTCGACTCCGAGCCCAACGGCGCGCACAACGACGACGACGACGCCGCCGCCGCCGCCTTCGACGACGACGACGGAGGGGGAGGAGGGGGAGGAGGAGAGGAAGAGATGGCCGAGGACGACGACGGCGGCGGCGGCGACTACGAGAGCGCGAGGCACAAAGCCGAGATTTTGAGCCACCCGCTGTACGAGCAGCTGCTGAACGCGCACGTGTCGTGCCTCAAGATCGCCACGCCTGTCGATCAGTTGCCCAGGATCGACGCGCAGTTGACGCAGTCGCAGAGGGTGGTGGCGAAGTATTCCGTGCTGGGGAATGGTGGGGTCGTGGACGGGAAGGAGCTCGATCAGTTCATGGTAATAGTTTCGTGTCTTTTGGGGGTTCTTCTTCTTTTGGTTGATTTCTCACAAAGTGTTTGGTTGACTGATTCTTGATTTCATGGCATCTCTTGTGGAATTCTGGAAGTGGGTCTATCTTAGTTTCTGATAAGTTTGTCGTGGTTGGTCAATGCGATTCAGCACTCAAACCTGGAGCTTCAGTTTTGCTGGGAATTGTGTGGGTTTTCAGGGCATGTAGCGTCTCTTAAATTTCGAAACTTTCCTCTGTTTTTCGTTTTCTTTTGCAGTATTTAGACTTGTGTTTGAACGGGAGGAATTTCTTGTAGAAACGTTTTTGTGGGTTCGGCTTGTTTGCGAGAAAGATCCGAACTTGACTTCGATGCTGCTTTCATATAATTTAGCTGAGAGTCCATTGATCGGAACATGGTGGATATTTTCTTTCTTTTTGATAGATTTGTTCTAGATGTGGCAGTTGAAATCTCGGTAACTCTAGTTAATTCGAGTTGTCATCTTCAGAAGTAAGTATCTGCCTCAGATAAGAGATTGAGAACTTGAATTGAGTTATACTTGTCTTCACTCTGTTGAGTGTTATATCTTCAAAGCCTGGGTGTTCTTATTTTGCTAATGCTTCCTCAATTCTGCATCTCCGGTTCCTTAGGGTTTGGTTTCACGTTCTGACTTCTAGTTCCAATTGAGAGAGAGAGAGAGAGAGAGAGAGAGAGAGAGATTTGTCTTGTAGCTAGAGTCCTGCTTCCTTTTGTTTTTTGCTTCTATTTCATGATCTGCTGGGCATTGTCGGCATTGTCTTCGTTTGGGCTTCGGAAAGAATGTGAGGTACGAAAAGATGTCAAGTTTAGTGGATAGAACGACTTTTTGGCTCAGGATTCTATTTATAATGTCCTCTTGTCGCATCAATGTGGGAATCGTGCTGTTTGAGTAACACTAATAATTCAACTTTTGAGAGTGCTTCGGAGAATCTGTTGCCACATGACTCCACTTGTCTGTTCTAGTACACAGTATCTCCCTAGATTTTCCTAGCACAAAAACCAGCTTCAAGATCCTTCTGTCACCTAATCTTTGATTGTTCTCCAAAACAAGGATAAGGATCTTGCCGTAATTAAAATTTCCTGAAAAACTGACAGCGTGTGTATTCATTAAGTCGAAGAGAGATGTCTTTTTGTGCTTCACAGTCCAAAATAACACGAATGAAAATATGGAGCTTCCACAATTGCTTCCTGGGTCAACTGCAACTGATGTTGCTCATTAAAAAAATTTCCTGCAAATGTATAACACAGATGATCATCATGAAAACCTTCGGTGCAGTAGTATCTGATAGTTGGCTTCCTTGAATCTCATATCACTTAGGTTTAACAAACTAGAAGAATTACTGTTAAGTCTGCAGAACTTAATTCATCTTTTGAGATGACAGAAAATATGCCGTGTACGCGCTTCTGTGGACTGAGATCTTCTGTGATTTGGTGATCAGCACCAAAGTGCGGAAGTTGATAAAATAAACTAACATGCATTAGAGGGCATGAAGAAATTTCTGCTGTCGTGACTGCTAAGCGGTTTTACATTGTATAGCCGATAAATTTTGCTATATACATTTAAGAAAAAAAGTGTTGTCTCCTCGAATAAATGAAGGCCCTAAGATTCCATTAATTGCTTGAGACATTGTACACACTCATCATTAGTTATTTTTACTCCAATCTTCTCTGTTATTTTGATATAGTTTTTGCACTATTTGAGCTTCGAGGTCTGCCCTGTAGTTTCTCATCTGAATTTTCTTGTCTTTCCCCCACTTCTGATGCAGACACATTATGTTCTACTGCTCTGTTCCTTTAAAGAGCAATTACAACAACATGTTCGTGTTCATGCTATGGAAGCAGTGATGGCTTGTTGGGAGCTGGAGCAAGCACTTCAGAGCTTAACAGGTTGTTCCCTTTTCCTAATCCTATGTTTCATTGTCTCCTTCTGTTTGAGTTCACGTAACCAATTGTACATATCCCCAGGTCTTTTGGAGTCTCTTTTTGTGGATGTGATGGTGCAAATGAATATTGAAACTTTCCTGATATGAAGAGTAAATAGTATTTAATATTGATGTTTTAATGGAGTCATTATTTCTGGTAAAGGACCTTGGACGTTGCTAAGTATTGTGCACTCTCTCCTCACTCTCTAGCGGATTCAATTCAAGGGTATTTTGGGGTGACATTTGCTCTTTTTACTTTTTGTTTACAACTTGTTTGGTAGAGTTTGAAATTTCATTCTTTTTTTGATTTTGAACTACAAACATCAAAACCTTTAGATTTCTAATCATTTAAATTTTTTATGTTTTGATGGGAAAGCAGCATTTTGGAGGGAAAGAAGATATGTCCTGAACGCACTCTTATTTTATCCAGAAACTATGGTCCATCAAAGAAAAATTATTAGCATGACACCAGATATTGGCTAATTATGATTTTCCTCACATTGCCAAAACAGGAGTATCTCCTGGTGAAGGGACAGGGGCTACAATGTCTGATGATGATGAGGATCAAGATGATAGCGATACCAAATTGTTCGATGGAAGCTTTGATGGGCACGACAGTATGGGATTCGGGCCTCTAGTTCCGACTGAAAGCGAGAGATCCTTAATGGAACGGGTGAGGCAAGAGCTGAAGCATGAACTCAAGCAGGTATCCAGTTATTGCCTAGCACTATTTGTTTTGGTATATTACAATTCTTATACGATTGATCTGCTTTCCACTTCTCAGGACTATAAGGAAAAGATTGTGGATATCCGAGAGGAGATTCTGCGCAAGAGGAGAGCCGGAAAGCTGCCAGGTGACACCACCTCTCTGTTAAAAGCATGGTGGCAATCACACTCCAAGTGGCCCTACCCAACAGTATGGATATTATGACTCTAATCTCATTGTTCGGTACCAGTTCATTCCAAACAATTTGCTGTGGATTTCTTATTACTTCGCCTGCTTAAAAAATCATCTCAGGAGGAAGACAAAGCAAGGCTAGTACAAGAGACGGGCTTGCAATTGAAACAGATTAATAATTGGTTTATAAACCAACGGAAAAGAAATTGGCACAGTAACCCATCGTCTTCCACAGTTCCCAAGAGCAAGCGCAAGAGGTAGGCTGATGAACATACAGAGTCAAAATTTTGGACTTCTTTGAGAATGATATCTCACTGTGATTCTGAAAGAAGCCATGCAGGTGATCCGGATAAAGAGAGACCTATGTAATGCAGCGTCAAAAACCACTTTCCATCTATTGGTTTGCAACAGCCGCCACATGTGAGTCCTTTCGACAGGAAAGGTCTCGGCCAATAGTTACATGGGCAGCGAGAAGACAGCACTTTAAAGATGGTATAGAAGAGCTAATGGTGGATCAACTATGCACTTCAATATACTTAAAAACCATGCTTATGAAGAAAAAAGTCGAAAACCCCCCTCGGCTTATTGCCCAGCTCTTTCAAAAGGAGAATGTGTATTGCTGTGATACTGTGTTTAACTTGCCAGAAACGTGTTGGCACGATTGCTATTAATTTATCTCGCAACAACATTAGTGCTTATCTGATGCTAATCTAATGATCGTGTCTCTTCATAGTGGAGTTTTTATTCATAAGTTCTCATCTGAAGCACTTCTATCAAATTATGGAAAGGAGCTTACATAAACCTCATTTTAGCAGAAGTAGCTCGCTGGTGGCTGATAAGAACTGCACTAGTCTTGCATATGGAACAGGGCATAATGTTTGCTATTAGCATCGGGTCAAAAGCAAAGGAAGGAAGGTTCCTGCACTGTAACTGGTCAATGGCTTGAGGTATCTTGTAAGAATCTCTATCAGCTGGTTTGCAATAAAAGCAAGCTCATTGAAGAGAACACTAGTTCAACTTGGATGAGTTTGAATGTCACACTCCAACATGGACTGCCTAACATATTTGACCTCAAAACCCAAGAAATATTTAGACCGTCCACACTTTGAAATGACATGAGCAAATCATCATAGCTTTCGTAAAGATCAACAGGAAGCATCAACCTCTCTTCGACTGTATATCCAACATCTGAAAACTCAAGATTTTTCGAGCACCGAATTCTTCATTGAATCACCAAAAAAAGAAGGAAATAGCATAAACTAATTTTCCAATCCATGCTCAGTGATTTTCGATCTTTCTCGTGGATCGCTATAGTATCCATAGCTTGCACAACGTATTTCGATAATTATTCTAGGCTAGAGCAATGAAGTGACCCCCATCGAACAAGAATTCGCCGTGATAATGCAAAAGAATTCTACTTATTGTTTGTCTTTTTTACTTTTTTTCTAATCGGGTCTTTATACTTTTAATTTGTTTAATCAATTCATCCTACTTCCTTACCAAGTCAATCTGACACCAAATCCGATCAAATTCAGATGACGTCAAATACAATGCCAAAGTACGATGTGAATAAATTTTAGCTAACATAGAGCCTATAGGGATGCCATGGTTGAAATAATTAGCTAATATGAGCAGCGCCACAGTATAACGTGGATAAAAATTTAGCCATTTGGATTCTCACATGGACGTCCATGAAAGAAAAACTCTATTCAACTTCACAAGCCAAAAACACCGTCTGTTGGATTTGGTGCCGGAGGGTTGATTATAAAGTTTGAGAAAGTAAAAGAACTCGATTAGACAAATAAAAGTAGAGATATCTGGTTATTGAAAAGGGCGAAAGCATAAGGATGCAAAAGCATAATTTATCCTCTAAAATAATGAAACCAATGAGAGGTGTACACAGGAACAAATCAAAAATAAAATATCATTAAAAAAAATAATTGGCAAAAAAATTCAAAGAAAATCTCTATCATTCTCATGACGGTCCAATTCCGGCTTGTCTCTCCTGATCATTCCTGAAACTGCCCACAAACCTAGCAGGGAAACCCTTCATCAACAAGCCATCTTCCTCTCCTCTATCACCACCTCCATCGAAATTGAGTGCGTAGCTCTCCGCATCATATCCAAACTTGCTGGTGTTGTTATTCCTCTTCTTATCCGATCTCCAATACCCACCAACCTTTCTGATGAAGTTCTTCCACTTCGGCCCCGCCACGACTTCTGTGAACTCCCTCGCTTTCTTGAGCTTGCTCATCGCCCAAGACTCATCGCCGTCGCCGCCGCGCCGCACGTAAGGGTGCGCCCTGCTGCCGCCCCGCCACCACTTGAGGCAGAAACAGCCGCACCCGCTCGGAGAAACGTCGTCTGCATAGTAGTCGAAGCCGTCTTCTCCTTCATGTCCATGTTCTTGAATTGGTGAAGGGTATTCTTTAGCAGCCATGAGAGAGAGAGAGAGAGAGAGAGAGAGAGAGAGAGAGAGAGTCTATGAAGGTCCTTTGATGAGGGAAAAAGTCGATATATACGGTATGAGAGAGGAGGAAATATCGAAGAAAGAAGCGCGCCAGATCAGGAGCGTGACCGTGTTGATTAGGAGAGGGAAGAGAACCAGCCAAGAAACAACTGACACCGTGGTTGCTTGTACAATTCAACAACAAGAAAACAGAAACAAAACATCAAAGTGGATTGCGAACGAAAAACAAGTCCGCCGGAAATTTCGTGGGGGATTCGATATTTTTAAGAGTCGTCTAGTTTGACCATTATACAATGGAATCAAACAGCAAATCAGAACAGAAAGAAAGAGTTGACCAGCACCAAGACGTGCAGAGTTTCTTGATCAATTGGCTTCTCTCATTATCTCTCTCTCACACTGATTCAAGCACCTTCGTGGAAAGCATGGTTTTCACGATGGCATCTCCATTGTTTCCCCGAGTAAACGCGATTAATTTCCGCGGCAAAACTTGTAGATAGAAAAAGAGATCCATATTAAGATCCCAACTAGGCGTTAAATTAGTTTGGTCCTGAAAGTTTCCAATTTCACCAGCAAAAATCTGCACAAAAGTTCAGACATCATACGAGTCTTGGCTTCATTTTGTTGACTATTAACTAGTCTTATGACCTGACCTGCAAGATACCCGTAACCCACCCCATAAAGGGGCAAATTTTCTTGACTTTAAGGAAAACAACATTGAAAGCTCTAGGCACAAGTGGGTTCATAGTAAAGCCGCCGAAGCCGGACATTGGCTGCCCAACTTGACCCGAGTGAAAGTGAACGTGGTATGGCGATTGAACCACCCTTTAATGCCAGTAGACCATATCATTATATTGGAACAAGACACAAAGCCGGCAAAAAAGCCTATCGAGAATCAAAGAATGGAGCTTGGCCTCATCAAGCATGTATCTCGGAAAAAAAAATGAAAAAACACGAGACCGACAACGTTAACACATAATAATCAAATCTACTTTTCTTATAGCATTCACACAGAAGCACATCAGCCATTTCTATGATTCAACATACAAAGACGAGGAAGAGCCAACTATGAACTTCAGCTTGTCTGGTATACTCTGTGTTTCACTGACTATATAGAATACCTATGTGTGATTTTGCATCTTTTGAGAGATCCTCGAGCACATGGATCGCAGTTCGTTTGCAATTTCGGTGAAGCTTGGTCTCTCTGATGGCTCTGCTGACCAGCATCTCTCCATCAGGGATCTCCATTCCAGATCACAGGATTCCGGTACTGGCGGTCGCAGCGTATTGCTCACGATACCACCTGAATTAATCAGAATCTCAGAAATCAGCAGCAAATATTCAACCAATTGAAGTAAAAAGTAGTATGAACTTTGACCTATGATGGCCCCATAATGCAAATCCGCGTATGGTTCTTCTCCAGTCAGTATTTCCCACATCACAATGCCAAATGAGAACACGTCAACCTAAGCAGTAGGTTGTCATTAAACAGATTGCAGTTAAAAGTAAATACATACCGATAAAAACAACCATATAGATTCAAACAAATGTATACTTGGGATAATCAGGGGAGTGAAAATGAAAGTGAGACGCCAACCTTCTCGGACACGAGACTACTGCTGCCATTTAAAAGCTCAGGTGCCATCCAAGGAAGCGTTCCTCGCACTCCACCTGATATCAGCGTTTGACATTTTACCTTGGACAGACCCAGATCACCAACCTGAGAGACAAGTAAAAGATCAAATTGGAGGACCGTTCAGAAGTTCTGGGGAAAACCAGATTTTGCTATCCTATAAAGAACAGGAAAGATTATTAGATCTGTGGCAAGGAAATAGCAAGTATCATGATCAACCTGAGGCATATTGAAGTCAAACAACACGAACAAAACAGATTCCATCACCTCTTATCTGTTGGACAACAGATGTCACGAATCTAATCTAATCAATGATGAGCTATTCTTTGGTTAGCAAAACCCAAATGTCAGAACTTCACTAAGATGCTAGTTGGGCCCAGCATCTATGTGGAATACAAAAATATTAATTTGAGAATGTCCTTTAGCAGAAGAACTTCCAACAAGATAACTTCCAAAGAGAGGAAAATACCAGAAATTTAATGTTCAATGATCATTCCCACATCTTGCAAGAGAAACACTTTAAATGCAGCCACAGATCATGCAGCAGCTGCACAACTACACTGCATCGACAATTAGACAGCCTACAGCTGTACCAATAAGCCGATCAAAAGCAAACTTTGTGGATGGCCTGAGTGTTGCAGCAATCGTGCTTCAGGCCTATTGCACTGATTGTGCAAACACGAGTATAACTCAGTGAATGAGTTAACAGACGGACACAAGAATATATGTTAAAGGTGTGCATTATCCTCAAAGTCCAAGCTTTGCAACTTCCAGACAGATATTTGCCAATAAATCAATCTTGCTTGTTTTTTGGCAGATGAGTGGAAACTCTTATATTGAAACAGACAAAGTTAGTTCAAACTAATTGAGTCAAATTAACAGGAAGTGCTTTAATTTTACCACAGGCCCCCGATTTTGGTTTATGGTGTTCTTTCCACAGTTTGACACAGCAGAACAATAAGTTATCCCGGGTCAGCAAGATCACTTTGTCATGAAGGAGATCTAATAATGTCCTTTCAGAAACTGCCATCTAACACATATACACCACTGTCTTTTGAGTACTAAGACATCACCCCCAACATATCTACAAACAGAGAAATTGGGATTGGCACATGCTCGATTAAAGAAAGTTAATCAGTCATTCTTGATGTCCCTGCCATCCACCTAATGCAGACAACCATTTTTTTTCCACTGAATCACTCGACAGCTCCAGGAGCAAAGTCTGTGTCCTCTTGCAGAGTAGAATAGTACCATGGTAAGGACAAATATCCATAAGTTCATAATAACGAGTCAATAAGCATGCACAACATAACTCACAGCTGCATTAGAGACATCATATGAACTTCCTTATCACTCAAGCATTGAAAGAAGAGAAGAGACCAGGGAATCAATGTAATAAAAGTTCAGCATTTTGAACTCCAATCAACCATCCGTCCACTGACCTTACAGATTGGTCGATGGGGATCTCGAAGATTGACGAGAAGGTTGTCACTTTTCAAATCAAAATGCACTATGTTCTTCCCATGCAGGTATTCCATACCAAAGGCCACATCCATTGCAATCAGCAGACGCTTCCGCTTGTCAAGGTTCCTGATAAGAACTTAGTTTAGTGATTTGTCTTTTACAACAAATCAAATACAAACTAAACATTCAAAAGAACTGATGAAAAAGTGACCTAATTGTTGCGGACATCTTCAAACACCCAACTTAGACATGTGCACACACATATGCACGTCCACACACAGGCGTGCCCACACACACACATGTTCATGCACACACACGCCCACAGAGAGAGAGAGAGAGAGAGAGAGAGAGAGTCATACCTTTCACTTTTCTGCAACGCATTTCGCAAAGAACCATTAACCATGTACTCCGTTACTGTTGCCACAGAACCTCCAGGGCCATCAAGCACAACACCATAAAAGGCCACCACATTTGGATGATGCAAGTCAGCAAGCTTGATTGCCTCATTCCAGAAATCATATCTCTGTCTCAGCATGGCAACAGTACCAGGGATTCAGAAAGGATACTATTAAATATCAAAAACAACAAAAAGCAAGAAGATCCACACCATTCTCTCTTGCTCTGAGGGCTTCCCAGAAAAGCACCTATCATTTATCCGTTTGATGGCTACATCAGTACCCCTCCATTTTCCATGATAAACAGTCCCATAGGTGCCAGAACCTAATTCTCGCAACTCTTCAAGGTCACTGTTCTTAATTATCTGCAGAATGGAAATCCAAGCAAATCAAGATCTGAGTCCCAGAAATACTGAACATATATCAGAGTATAGAAAATCTCTCACTTGCAAGCGACCAATGCCATCTGATACAGGAAACCCGAAATTCACCCTTGCTGCCACTGTAGAATTAGCATCCTACATGATAAATGTCAGAGATACATGATCATTATATTGATACAATTGAAGGATGAAGCAACCTGATAACCAACACTTTGAAGAACACAAAAGAGCTTAAGCACCTCAGTGTCAGCATCTTGCTGCACATCTTTTTCCTGGTATGCTTCATGAGCGGGCTCATTTCCTTCATAAACTGTTAAGTCAGGATTAGAAGGAAGAGCTGACTGAAGAACAGAAGCAGCTACACCCTCAGCAACATTCTGAAGCTCTTGCTTGATGAGATCCTCTGCTGAACCTACAGAAGATAAAATTAAACAACTATAAAAAAAAAACAAACAGAAAACTACCTTTATAAACATAGAAAATCCTATAAAGAACAACCTTTGGAAGATCCATATTGTTCTGAACTGATGTAGTTTGTGAAATTATTGAATGGTTGCTGGACTCCATCCTCCAACTGTACCTCTGCATTCAAGTCCCCGACCTTTCCACAACGGTTATCCAAGAACTGATCCTTAGCTCCAAGGCCTTCTTTTCTCAGTGCAATTTTGGTAGGTTTTGGAGGAGGAAAATGATTATCATGATTAAAATTCCAGGGATCCTGGTTTATGAAAAGTGACTTTGAAGGATCCTGGATATTATCAGTCCTACCATTCGAGTTTATAGTTCCAATATCACCAGGAACATTAATTGGCTGGAATATAGAAGCATCGTTGTTCCATGGAGCACTAGAAGAGATTCCCTCAGTCACAGAGGCTAAGCCAACCCCAGAGAACACAGAGTTGCCATGATAGACACCTTCAGGTTCCATTTGGATAACTATCCTAGATTGAGAATTTGATCTTGGAATACCAACATTAGGTGGTTGAGATGTGTTTTGGAATTCCACCGGTCGAAAATCACGCAAATAAGGAACTTCAGGTGCCGAAAGAGCAGACGTCTCGGAAATTGGGGCTTGAGTAGTCTGAGGAAACATATAGGAAGCATCAGAGAAGATGTCCCCTTTCAGATTTTGCTGTACCTTTTGCTTCAATATCTCTGCCGTTCTTTGTTCTTCACCTGGCAACTTACTGTGCTCAACAATGGCAGGCATCTCAGGGGGGCTTATCAGTAGAGTTTCCATTCTCTTATCAATGGGTTTTACAGGACCCATGGAAATGGAATAGTCCAGATTTTCTAGTCCAGATTCAATGCCCGGAAATCGAGAATATTCTTTTGAAGATTCATGAACCTGGTGTTCAGATGACTGAGCAGGTTTGCCTCCTACAGGACAAGAATCGGCAGTAACTGGCTTGCTAGCCATGGCCTCCGGTTTAAGATGGGCTTGAGCTGGCATAAAATGCTGCTGGACACCTATTTCAGGAGAAGACTCTGGAAAAACACCCATGAATGCACCAAATGGGGACTGGTCATTG